CTTAAACCTTTGGCTGCGGCTTCGCGTCTCCGTTTTACTTTGCTTCGCTGCTCGCGGGGTTCGGTTCCCGACAGCCGCGTGTCGGCTGCGATTCGTTTTCCTAACGACTGGTGGCTGTCAGTGGAGCCTGGGAAAGATGTGGCCCGCTGTAATCTCAGCAGGTGGTCATTTCAAATCAAAATGCTTCACAGCCTGTTGGGAACAGTGGGATCTGAGACCGCACGCTCCATTTTATGGTCTCGTATAGTCTTCCTGTGAGGCGCGAGTTCGTGATGTGCTGGGAAAGAGAAGGGGTTTACAGGTGGTCGTATCTTTCTTTCCTGTGGGAGGTGTGGCTCTCAGGGCATAGTCAGAGTCGTTCCCGTGGATTCAGTGGGAGCAGAGACATCTTCCATGTCAGTGAATAGGTAGAAAAGGGACTCTTTGGACTAAGCCTACAAACTGCCTACTTACAAATCCCAAAAGTGATATGACTAGGCACATACCAAGGGGGAAAAACACGGCAAATTACTGCCTTAGCTGAAAATTAGTTGGCTGTCTAAATAAAGTTTAGAGCATCTCCAGATTATTGCAGGAGTGGCCTGACCTGGAGGACCCTTCCTTCTTGTGGCAAGAAATAAGTTTTTCAAATGAGCCAGGCTGTCTGTAGATGTCCAGAAGGATCATACAGGATCACTTTATTTTGCTTATATGGTATTGTATAATCTTAACATTTCTGAACATGGGTTCAAACAATAGTTGAGCGGTGGTGATTGTGTTGGTGATTATAGTGCAGGGTATGTAGAAGCAGATTCTGGTTTAGTCTGTATACTTTGGCTTGACAAACAAACTGAGAGGATGGACCTTTGGACTGATACCATTTTTAGACCTTAGGAAAGTACAGAATGTAACTGCTGGTCAACAGGAATTACTTATTTTTTTTTCTAAGTCAGTGGAGCTGGCTGTGCTGGCTTTAGGTAAGGTATTTACTAAGCTGCAGAGTTATTGGTTAAAAAGTGAATCTGTTTCCTGATCAGGAGGAAAAATTACCTCTTTATCAGTCAAGACTTGAGCATACAGTGAACTACAGAGGCTTTGATCACCTCAGAATGTTTATATTATGTGAAACAGTTTTTCTGCTATTGAATTTATTCTATTCTGCTATAGAATTTAATATTTTCTTTTTAAAAAATCCACAAACTTTAAAGAATGAGAATGTCACACCTTCACACTTAGAACTGTTTGCTAGTTCTCCCTAGGTTTCTGACTAATCTACTAAGAAGGCAAAATGGAGATTAATTTTCAGTAATTGTAGGATACTGGAGTTTGACTTGCAGGCTCAGTCTTGAAACAGAGCACTATGTTTATGAAGATCTTTATATAGTCACTTATTAGTGTGCTCAAAATACCTGCTTGCAGTGAAGCTTCTTGTTCATTGAAGGGAGGACCTGTTCTAGGAGCTCTTAAAAGCTTCAAAAACTTCCATGTGCTTCTTGTTTACTGCATGATTCAACGAGGCTTTTCTGGGCTTCTCATAGTGCATTCTTGGAGATTGAATTTGGTCCTGTATTAAAAAAGAAGTTCTGGATGAGTGGTACGGGCAAGGAGTGCAGTCTGCGGCGCACAGTCCCGTAACTGGGAACGAAGATCTGGGATGAGAGCTGTCCACAGCCCTCTCCTTACAGCCATGCCCACTCTGGTTTCTTCCCTCTTGTCTTTTCAGTTTCACTCTGGCAGAAGAACCATGAGTAATTATTTTGTGTTGATGAAGGTCTGGTTGAAAAGAAAGCAAGGTAACTTTAAGTTGTAGCAGCCATGGCTCAGAAATATAGGAGTTGATGGAAGCAGCCTCTATATGCTTTCCCCAGCAGCCATAATAATGCCTGGTGTGTGTCAGGTGCTTCTGCTCCTTTCCTGTTTCTGTAGGTGTCAGAGAGATGCACTGGCTCAATTCCCGTGCATGGAACACGTAATGTAATTCCGGTGATCCCCGGTGTTGCCGTGCAGCTGCTGTGTGACGGGTTACAGGTGCCTGCCGCCAGCGGGGCTCTCGGCTGGGAGCTCGGAGCTCGGCTCGGAGCGGGGCTGGGAGCTCGGAGCTCAGCTCGGAGCAGGGCTGGGAGCTCGGAGCTCAGCTCGGAGCAGGGCTCGGAGCACGGAGCAGGGCTCAGGGCTCGGAGCACGGCGTGCCGGTCGCTGTAGTTCCTCTCGGTTCTGCCGAGGCATTAAGGGGAGGGCTCTTGCAGTTCCTTGCATCACGCGAACAGCGCCATCACCTTATGCTGATGTGTCCTTCTCCTCAGAGAAGGAGGGTATAAATAGCAGTAGAGTGTATAGGGCACAACTTAGATGTTAAGCTGTTGGATAAAATCTGTCTCAACCTTGGGAGAAGGAATAAGGATTTAGTCAAGAGAGCCACATGAGGCAGTTCTCCTTTGCTGTTTCTGATCTTTCTGTTCCAGTAAAATGAAGACAAAGGCATATAAATAAAGGCAACAGTATAAAAACGGGTGTTGAAGGAAGTGGGAGACAAAGCAAAAAGCATCGTGTGCTAGTGAATATATTAGTTTACTTAAGGGATTACCTGGTTGAGGGGAGATCAATCATCTGTATTTTTCTAACCTAGACCAAAAGTTATTGCCCTCTAGTTGTTATTAAGTGTAAAATGAGCCTGTGTTATCCTTAAGTTAAGCATAGGCCTGTGCAGTAGCACTTAACAAAGAGCCATGCTGGCATTGCAACGTACTGGATGGGAGAAGTTGATTGAGTTTGGTGGAACTCAGTTTAAAGAATTTCCTTCCTCTTCATGTCAGCTGTGGCAGCTAACCTGAAAGTACCAAAGAATTTTTGTAAAAAACAAGTTTGCTGTAATTCTAGCTCCATCTTAACTCTTACCAAGACTGATTCTAAAGGTGAATACTGTTCTAAGCTTTAGAAGGTCTCAGGCAATCACCAGAGACCCTCCTACAAAAATGAGATTATGGCTGTTAGATAAGAGCCTTTAGACATTTCAGGAGCTGAGTTCCAAAGTCCCAGTTTTCCCATGAAATTATTTATTCCTTTCCAGGAAACCTTGCGTGATACTTTCTGCTCTACTTTGGACTCTGGTGGGTTAACTGTTGCTGGCATTTGGAGCTTGAGAGGTAACAGTATGAATCTCCAAATGTTTGATGAATGTTACAGGTAGTTTCAGATCTTCCAGGAAGAATCCCAGTTCTGCTGCAGCAGGGCAGAGCCATGAGGCTCTCATTTTTTTGAATCCTCTGGTGGTTGTTTCTCTCCTCTAGAGATATTTGGGTCATCACAACAAATTCCTGTACTGCACATGGAGCCATGCTGATGGTCATCTTTGTTTCCTTTCCTAACAGACCAGCGAGCCTAACACCTTCCATTAGTTCCCAAGTATCTTGAAATAGTTGGTATCAGTTTTTTCCAGCCTCAAAAGGCAAATGTGGGTGTTCTATTTGACAGCTCTCCCACCATATCGGGATATATACTTCCTTGCATATTTCTGCAGGGGTCACATATCACTTTTCACATTAAAAGGCAGTATGAGTTGTTTTTTAGTATTTAAATGTCAGTATTCTCTTTGCTGAGGAAAACATATTTTTTGATGCGGTATTTTGTTGCCTATATCAGCCAGGTTTGTCAAAGATCTCAGATCCCCTCGGCCCCTACAGTGCTGTACTTAATTAAGTCAAAATAATAACAACAGGTTGTTCTTGCCTGGGGTTTTGTTTGTTTGCTTGTTTGGGGGGATTTGTGGTTTTTTTTGTAGTGGTACCTGTCTGTACTAAAGGGTTGGGTTTTTTAAATTTTGAGTACTGTGTCAAACACTTTAAATGCTGCCTTTTTTTGCACCCCCCACAGTGGAAAGGGTCTGTAATCTGTCTAGTGGAGGTAAATGCAGGGAAAGAAAGGATAACAGTTTCAATAATGAGGTTGAAATATCCAAAGGATAATTTGAAAATGCATCTGATATTGAATCACTTGTGTTGTTAGTTTTCAAATTCTAATTTGTAATGAGAACAATACAGCTTAAGCAGATGTGGTATGAATGTAGCCTAGGAACTTTCAAATATTCTGTAAGGGCAGCTTTCTTTTTATGGAGTCATTCAGAAAGCAGCTCTGTTCTCTATAAAATGCTCTGTAAATTGCAGTACTCTTATCTTGCAGCCCTTTTTGATTGATGCTCCTGAAGCATTGGGCTTTACTGTCATTAATGTGATATTTTAAACAGAAGTACTGCATGGTCATGAAAGATTCTCTATTTTCTGTGTGAACAGGGCTATTGGCCCCTTTGCCCTGCAAGCTTCCATTTGCATAAGCAGCATACCTTGCAGTAAGTTCAGTCTTTGCCCAATGACGGGGCACTGAATAACGTTGTGCACAGCAGCTGCTGGTGCCCCTGACCTCAGCGGGCCGGCATTCCTGCGAGGAGCAGCGCGTTCCGTAAAGTAAATGCGGCGTGCCTGACGAGCTGCCTCAGGCTGATTAGCTGGCCCACAACTGCAGCGGGGCTAAGGGGGAATTCATGCTTTGAAGGCTTCCAAGCAAAAGCTACAATGAGTGCTGCTAATTAAGGCCTTCCTCCCCAGTGGTCTCTATATGATTATTAACTTACATGTGAAGAAACTGAGAGACAGAAGAATTGTGATTTATCCCAGGCCATGTGACATGATGGTGACAAAAACAGGATTAGTGCCTTGCCCTGCCCTGCTTCAGACGCTATGCAAGTTCATTGTGTTCCTAGAAACAATTGTATTTTGAAAAACAAGGCAGTGTCAATGTGAAAGCTAAGTATGTATTATCAGAGCTTTCAAGAGAAGTGAACAGATGATTTTGGTCTATTTCTTGACAAAAATTTGTCGTTTCAGTTGGTTGTAGATAAATTTTGTAGCTGTATAATTTTACTTCAAGTACGAAGTATTGAAAGTAAATAAGCAGTGTACCCTGTTTTAGCAATGGTTTAAAATAGAGATTTCTGCTGAAATGCCACTGAAATATTGTTCTAAGAATTTCAAGCTCAAGATAACAATTTGGCTTGGTTTTGACCAGTGCTGATAGCTAAAGATACATTATTTCTGAAGCAGAGACCTCCATGTCTGATGGTTAGCTGGGCATAGAATGCAGTCATTGTGGTATTGGGGTGTTCTGTTTTTTTTGTTTGTTTGTTTTGCTTTTTTAAATTAAGCTAGCAAAATTGAAGAACTTGTACTGAGTTTTAATTGTGAGCATTCTTTGTTTTTTTTTAATTTTTTGATCTTTGCACTGACCAGATAAACTATCAATGTGCATTTACACCACACACTCACATCCCAAAGTTTTTAGCATGTTTGGATTTTGACAGGTAGAGCACTTTGGTATTTATAATTTCTTTTGAGATGGCCTCTAATGGCAAAAATATTTTGAAATCTAAACAGAAAGCTTGAAGAAGACTTCATTCCCAGACCTGTGCTATATTTCAGATTGCCATATGCAATGGACACTGATCTCAGTTCCCAGGACAGGAAGGACCTGGACAAGTTCATCAAATTTTTTGCTTTAAAGGTAATTTTTCTTCTTTGGACAAATGCCTCTTCTTCCTTGTTTAAAAAATGCCACAAAACAAATGACGTCCTTGGTGTGGCTAGAGTAACAAGATTGAGGTTTGGGTTTGTTGTTTCTTTTGTTTTGTTTTGTTTTGTTTTGCTGAAGAACAAAGCAAGAAGAGCTGATGTCAAATTTAAGAGATTCCTGAGAACAACTAGAAAAACATATTTTCCCCTTTTTTCTACCCTCAAATCCTCTTCCATCCTCCAGAAATATCCTGCTTTAGAATCAGCTGTAGGCACTTCAGACCTCTGTCAGCTTTGGGTTTCTAGCAGCATGTCTAACCACCAGCTTTTAGGTAGTTTATCTGCTGGCCTCCACTCTTTCAGCCCATCTAAATTTTTATATTGCATCCAAAAACAATAATACCAGAATGTTCTTTTGAATGATGCTGATATGTAATTATAAAATTTGGCCTCACTTCATACATAGGTGCAAGTAGATAATCTGACAATGGCTTTGGTCTAAACGTACAGACTCGTTTGTCTTTAGTTGTCCAGGCCTGGGATATTTTTGTAAATTTTTCTGAATTTTCTATTGAAAACTGAAAATCCTGATTGCAAAGTTGACTTTGTTTCTTAGTGTTGTTACAGCGAAAGGTCAGCCTAAAATGATTTTCTTTCTGAAATACATTTGCCTATTACATGTAATAATTTAAAGTTATTGGAACTGAAGAACAGTGTAGCAAACTCTACTTCTCTACATCCTGGTCAGCCCTTTCATCTTTTTCACTCGGAGCTTGTGTAGCTCAGGCTCTGAACTGAGGCTCAGAGCTGGTGCTGAGCCCAGAACATCACTAAGTATCCTTTTATTTCTGTTCCAGACAGTACAAGTAATTGTCCAGGCCCGACTTGGAGAGAAAATCTGTACCCGCTCGTCATCCTCCCCAACAGGTTCTGACTGGGTAAGGTCTTATTTTTTAAAGCCACTCCATAACTCTGTGTGTGTGCTGAGAACACCATGTGATTATTACAGTCTTGTGCAGACAATAATAATTATCCACAGAGTAGGTACTATATGGAGTTATGTTGGTGATGTTGCAGGGGGTTGGTGGTTGTTCACGTGCAGCAAATCACTCTGGACTCTTACAGGCTGATGAGGAGAAAGAGAAATAATGCCTCTCAGCAGCTCCTGTCAGCTAAGGCACATTTCCAAGATCTGCTTGGGGGTGGGGTGATGAGTTCTATTTCTGTCAGAAGTTTGCTACTCTGCAATTCAGGACATTTTAGTATTTGGCGTTATTAAAATTGAAAAGATTCAGGATACTCTGTGGATGAAGATAGGACTGAAGCAGGGGAAAAGGAGTACATTTTTTATAGCAGGAATAAGAAAAACGTTTGAATTAGCAGCCAAGGGAATCTTTGTAAATATGAAAAGCTTGAACCCAGCTGGGAATTTTCTGTTTCATAAATATTTCAGTGGACGCTGACCTAGTACGTTATATATGGGTCTGTGAGCCTGTCTGAAATGTACCATCACACAGTTTTTCAAAGAAATAAAAAAAATGGAACCATCTCTTTGATTCTGCAGTTCAATTTGGCAATCAAAGATATACCAGAGGTTACTCATGAAGCAAAGAAAGCCCTGGCAGGACAGCTGCCCGCTGTTGGACGGTCTATGTGTGTGGAGATTTCTCTCAAAACCTCAGAGGTGAGAACTGAGTCAAAACAGATGCCCTTTTTTTGTTTGTGGGGTTTTCTGCCTGAATCTTAAGCCAACTATGAGAGCTCCTGCCCTTTAATCCAAGACTATGTGAGAATATCTGAATTTTATTAAGTTAGGTGATATGCTAATGAAATGAAATTTATTGTTTAGCAGAAGCAATTCACTGCAAAAATCTGAGGCCAAACACACAACAGAAAAATCTGTTGTGATTTTTCACAACAGACACAGCAGAAAAATCTAAATTTTTTAAGAAAATTAAATTCTTAAATTTTAAGAAACTACTTTCTTAGCCCATGAAGAACTTAGGCATTCTGAAGAAGGTATTCCCTCAGGTGATACAATTGTGCAGGGACACTTCCAGTGCACCTTTTTCTATCATTGCATCACAAGAAAGTGGGAGCCAGGAGACAAACTATTGAGAGGTGTGGCCACTTCTGATCACTAATGAGATTTGAACAGGTCTGTGTTCTGAAATGAGTCTTTGTTTGCCGTCTTTTCTCTGATCCAGGGGGACTCCATGGAGCTGGAAATTTGGTGTCTGGAAATGAATGAAAAGTAAGTGCATTCTTTGTGTTTGTAGTTGGTAGCTGATGCAGCGGGCACATGTGGTTAATCCATGAGCACATCCTGGCTGTGTGGCCAGGGGCACTCCAGAGGGAACTCTTCTCTTTGTCTAGAGCAGCAGTCAATCTCTTTAAACACCAGTGTCAAGAATGAAAACTAGTAATTTAATTCCTTCTTCATTCCTCCATTACAACTAGTAGGTTTCCTCAGATACAAGAAATCAGTCTCAGTAATGACAAATGTTTTTCATATTGAAAAGGTGTCTCTGTTTAGTAGGAAGCTGCATGGCATTTTTCAGCAATTTCTTCTACAGCAGGTGACTAGGTTGAAGCAGGATGCTTAGCTGGTTGGTCAGTACAGGTAGCCACACTGGGGCTTTATTCATCATTTTGGCAATAAAATTAAATAACTGGCCCAGAGTAATTTTTATTTTAAATAAAATAATCAAAAGCAATTGCAAACCAAAACCAAACAAGAACCCCAAATCCAGGCAGCTTAGTTGTGGACTAAAGACTAATTTTTTTCCTTTGTGTTCTCTAGGTGTGACAAAGAAATCAAAGTTTCATACACTGTATACAACAGGCTGTCTCTATTGCTGAAGTCTTTGCTTGCTATAACCAGAGTAACTCCAGCCTACAGACTCTCTAGGAAACAAGGCCATGAATATGTAATATTGTACAGGTAAAGCAAAAATTTCCTATTTGAAATGCAAACAGAAGAGACTAGACTTGCACAGTGTAGCTGCAAATGTAGTTAAAAAGGGATGAGCAATAATAAAATCAAATTGTTTTTATAGAAGTACTACTGATCAGTGACAGAAGATGACTTTGGTCTGTGTATCACCTTTACTTGAGCCATTGAAAGAAAAGCTAAGCATAGACTGTGAAGTGTTTGCCTGCCACATTAGGAACAGTAAAAGAATTCTACATGCAATCCCTTAAATTGCTTATTAGCATCCAGTTGTTTGGTGTCTGGCTTGTGTTTGATAAATGGCTCTCTACATTGCACATAACTGCAATGTGCACTTCTACAGCATAGATTCAGACTCTCCTGTTACTCCTTTTTAAAGATGCATCCTCAATTCCACATCCTGTAGTTTTTGCAGTTTAGTCATCTGAATACTGGGTTCAACTCTCTTCAGCCTATGAGTCTGGTTTGTAGTTCATAGTTGTCTTCCAAACTCTGTTTTTGGCTGTGAGAAAAGTCTTTGACATGTTTGCATAGCTAATTTATATGATTGTAAATTTCAGGTTTGTTATAATTTGCACAGCTGAAAACTCAAATTCCAGCCATTTTCACTTTTTTGCCTTCATTGCTGACTTGGCATGTACTTAAGAGCAACTCTTACAGCACAGTTAACCTCTTATGTTGTGTGATGAGCATCAGCTTTTAGACTCAGACTTATCTGTGAAGTTTGTATCACATCACATTTTTGCTCTGAACTGTAGACTTCACCACAGAGGCTTAAAAAAAATTAAAGAGAAATTCCTGATTGGACTACCATTTTCTCTTTCTCCTTCATTTTACATGACCTGTTCTTCTGGAGCAGCTGTGAGGTTTTTTGAGATGGTCATTCCAGCCATTCATTTTGGGCTTTTTTTTCCTGAAGAGTAGTTCCAGCCTTCCAACTCCCAAAATTAAGTAAGAAATAAGGATATTTATAGCATTATGTCCCAACTGGATCTAACAGTTTTTCTTTTTCCTTCAGGATATATTTTGGTGAAGTCCAGCTGAGTGGCTTGGGAGAAGGTAAGATTAGACAACATACAAACAAGAGCTGTGTTTCATTCTGACTGCCTTTTGGTTACTATTGCCAAGTGTCATAGGGAAAATTAGTCTGAGGCTTACATGTGCTTTTTGTCTGGCTCTGCCAGTGCAGCCTTGTGTCACAAGGTGACAAGTATAATGGTGGTACTTGGACAAAGTCTCGGGTGACTGCCATTTTGACTCTAGTGATACAGAACTGAAATAAGGATACGGAATTATGTTGATAAGGAGCAGGACTGGTAAAGGAAATTATGATCTACTAAGGAACAAGAAGCACTTCAGAACAGTATTTTAGACCCAGAAGCCAGGAAGCAACATCAGATGTCTTGCAAGTGAAGCTTACCAGCAAGGCAACCTAGTGCTACTGTTTTGTTATGGGTTCTATGTGTGTTTTTGGGATTCACATTGCAAGAGATAATGGTAACACTACTTAAATAAGATAATGTAAACTCAGAATAAAAAAGTGTGGCACATAAATAATCAGTGGAACTGAGAATTATTCCTTAACTTTACAGGTTTCCAGACAGTCCGTGTTGGGACAGTGGGTACCCCAGTGGGCACCATCACTTTGTCTTGTGCCTACAGAATCAACCTTGCTTTCATGTCAACCAGGTGAGAAAATGTGATCATGCCAGAAACTGTTTTACAATAATTTACTGTTAAACCCCTCATGTTCTGAGCCCCCAAATGTTTCCCTTCTGCTTATCCCTTCCTGCTGAGATTCTTTCATGAAGAACGCTCTCTCTCTTGCTTAAGCTTGCAGCAAGGGGAGTATTTGGGTAGCCCTGAGCCAGGCTCTAGAACTTGAAATTGTTGATGCATGCCTGGAGTCACAGGACTAAATTGTTAAGATGGTCTGATCCCAGTAGACGCAAGGGTTTTCTGTGAGGGCACCATGAATTGGGAAGAGTAGAGAGAAGAAGCCAGTAACACCATTGCTTGTTGCCTTGCAGGCAGTTTGAGAGGACCCCTCCTATCATGGGGATTATAATTGATCACTTTGTGGACCGTCCCTATCCCAGCTCTTCACCCATGCATCCCTGCAATTACAGGTGAGGAAATACTGAGTTGAAGTCATGGGCCATGGTAAAGGCATCTATTATGCCCAAATACAGAGCCTTTTCCACTCTTTGTTGACAGCATGGGAAGGGACACTGGAGAATTAGTGTCAGTCAATTGGCACAGTTAAACATGTGACGAAGGGTGACATAGGGAACTTAGTATCTGAAGATGAGGAAAAGGCAGAAGTGCTTAATGCCTTTTCTGCCTCAGTTTTTAGTGGGAAGATGACTTGCCCTCAAGACACCTGCCCGCCTGGGCTGGTTGATGGTGACAGGGAGCAGAATGGTCCCCCCATTATCCAAGAGGAGGCAGCCATAGAACTACTGAAATGCTTAGATATTCATAAATCTATGGGACCAGACGGGATCCACCCCAGGGTAATGAGAGCTGGCAAACGAGCTTGCAAAGCCACTCTCCATCATTTACCAACAGTCCTGGCTCACTGGTGAGGTTCCGGATGACTGGAAGCTGGCCAATGTGATACCCATTCACAAAAAAGGTGCAAAGGAAGATCCTGGTAATTATAGACCGGTCAGCCTGACCTCAGTACCTGGCAAAATAATGGAACAGTTTATATTAAGCTCCATCACGCAAAATTTACAAGATGGCCAGGGTATCAGACCCAGCCAGCACGGATTTAGGAGGGGTAGGTCATGTTTGACCAACCTGGTCACCTTTTATGACAAGATAACTCGCCTAGTGGATGCAGGGAAGGCTGTAGATGTTGTTTACTTGGATTTCAGCAAAGCCTTTGACACTGTCTCCCACAGCATACTCCTAGACAAGCTGGCAGCCCGTGGCTTGGATAGGAGCACTCTTTGCTGGGTTCAGAACTGGCTGCATGGCCAGGCCCAGAGAGTGGTGGTGAATGGTGCTGCATCCAGCTGGCGACCAGTCACCAGTGGTGTCCCTCAGGGATCTGTGCTAGGGCCAGTTCTGTTTAATATTTTTATTGATGACATGGATGAGGGCTTAGAGTCTTTTATTATCAAATTTGCAGATGACGCTAAGCTGGGAACGTGTGTTGATCTGTTAGAGGGACAGATGGCTTTGCAGAGGGACTTGGAACGGTTGGATGGATGGGCAGAATCTAATGGGATGAACTTCAATAAGTCCAAGTGCCGAGTCCTGCACTTTGGCCACAATAACCCCCTGCAGCGATATAAGCTGGGGACGGTGTGGCTGGACAGTGCTCAGGTGGAAAGGGACCTGGGGGTGCTGGTTGACAGTCGGCTGAACATGAGCCAGCAGTGTGCCCAGGTGGCCAAGAAGGCCAATGGCATCCTGGCCAGTATCAGGAACGGTGTGGCCAGCAGGAGCAGGGAGGTCATTCTGCCCCTGTACTCAGCACTGGTGAGGCCTCACCTGGAGTACTGCATCCAGTTCTGGGCCCCTCACTTTAGGAGGGATGTTGAGATGCTTGAGCGTGTCCAAAGGAGAGCAACGAGGCTGGTGAGGGGCTTGGAACACAAGCCATATGAGGAACGACTGAGGGAGCTGGGGTTGTTCAGCCTGGAGAAAAGGAGACTCAGGGGTGACCTTATCACTCTCTTCAACGTCCTGAAGGGTGGCTGTGGTGAGCTGGGGGTCGGTCTCTTTCTCCAGGCAACAACAGACAGAACAAGAGGACACAGTCTCAAGCTGCACCAAGGGAGATACAGGCTAGAATTAAGGAGGAAGTATTTTACAGAAAGAGTGGTCAAATACTGGAATCATCTACCCAGGGAGGTGGTAGAGTCACCATCCCTCGAAGAGTTTAAAAAAAGACTGGATGTGGCACTTGGTGCCATGATCTAGTTGAGGTGTTAGAACATGGGTTGGACTCGATGATCTTAAAGGTCTCTTCCAACCTAGAATTTCTGTGATTCTGTGATTCTGTGATTTTTCTCCTCACATTGAGATGGCTCAGTGCAGCAAGCCCCAGTATTTTCCCAAATTCTTCACAGAAGCACTTGGACACAAAGGATGTTTAATCTTGGCTGCCTTCAGGAATTTGAAAGTGTAATGGTTAATCCTGATGCAGAACTACATGTCTAGATGCATGCATCCCTGGATATTTCCACTGGGGGAAGATCAGTTTAATTTCTCTTTGGAGATGGGAGGTTTGCCTTCTCTAAAATGAATGTGAGGGCATTCAGGTTTGGACCAGTGGTGTTGTTTGACAATGGCTGTGTAAACACCAAAGGCAGCAGCACTAGCTTGTATAAGAAAAGCACTAGTTAGATACACCTGTTATTTTACATGGGGTAGAAGACAAACATCTGAGAAAACTCATGTTTTCCCACTTTGTTTTCCTCAGATTTGGTAAGCAGATGAGAGCCCTTCATAATTCTCCTTTCAACTACACCCAAATACTCTCAACCTCCCTGCAGTGTTTGTCCCAGTGTGTTTTACTATTTGTTTGTTTTAAGGAATATTTCTGGTTAGAAAACTTGTTTTTTCTTGCTGCTTTAGAGCTGGTGAGGACAATGGTGCAGTATACCCCTCAGTAGAAGATTCCCAAGAAGTGTGTACCACATCTTTTTCCACCTCTCCTCCATCTCAGGTAAGAGAAACCAGGCTCTTTTTACTTCTGGATAGAACAATTGCTGTAAGAATAATTTGCATATTCCTACATCAGCTGTTGTGCAAACAGAAATCCTCCTGCTGCTAATTAAAATTTAATGTGTGGGTTATTTATGTCATTACGCTTTTGAGTAAAATCTATTGAAATGAGATACTAATTTCAACAAAATTCCAAAGGCCTAGAAAGACTGAATTACTGAGGATTAAAAGAGCCTATTTCTGTAGCTGGGTTGAGCTGTGCTTGAAGAGGACAGCAGTGTGCTTACACATTTACACATTTGCATACCAATACTGCAAGAGGAGGAATTCAAGACATTGATGCCAGGCAGCTTAAGTAGGAGTAAGAGACTGACATAGAGAGACACTGAAATGCCAGGAAAATGCTAGAGAAAGACAGAAAAAAGACAAAAGCTGTATTTATTGGACCATTAAAATTTCTTGGGGCAGCAGGAATAAGTATTGGGAAAAAAATTGCCCATGCAGATCGCATTTAAGTTTCAATTTTAAAATAAATAGCTAATGGTTTCCTTTTGAGTATAAAACCCCAGAAACTCCCAAGTTCTTTTACTGTCTTACATATGTGATTCCACAGTTCTCTATTTTGAAGAGTTGCAGTTGTCTATTGCTTTAAATATTCAGGATTGCCCTGCTTTGTTGTCCAGCCAAGCAGATGGCTCTACTGACCTTTAAAGACAATCCAAAGACTCTACATCTCTTTGACTGTCAATGTGAAACATAGAATGAAGTATAATTGGAATGCTGTTCCAAACAGAAAGAATTTGCTAGGGGTCTTTCTGCTGCTTCAGAGGAATTAATATGCCTGGTTTAGCAGAACGTATTCTCCTATATGAACAAGCTAGAAATGAGCTTCTCTTAGGAAGCATTTCTGTGCCAAAGTGATTTCAGGTGATCAGGCATCAGGCAATGTTGAACTAATTAGTCAGTACTCACGGTAAGTCTGATGGAATAGAGCTTTTCTTATTCTGCAATACATAGTTCAGGAAATTAGTTTGTGGCTGACTTGTGTCCTGCGTTTTCCTAAAGTGGGGTAAAGATTTCATAAGGAAATTTCCACTGGCTTGCTCGTGCCAGTGTTACTTAACAGTAGTAGTGTATGTAACTACATTGAAGTTGACATTTCTGCAGGGGTCATGAAGCTTTACTGTCACTGAGGGGGGAAAAGCTTGATGAAACCACTTGAACCTTGAGGATTCACATAAAGTATGAGCCTACATTCTTGCTTTTTCTGTGGCTCATAGTTGCCATATGCTGTGCCCTTATTTGTAAAGCAACTGCCAGTCTTTGTTACCACGGTTGGAATTGTCAGGCTGCCTTGGCTGAGTGGACTTTAAATTAAAAGGGAAAGAAGTAGTTATTTTTTTTCTCCAGCTTTCTACATGTCCTGTGCAGGTTCATGACTGGGAAACAACTAGGAACTGTGTGATTTTGCAGGCAAATTGTATGAATCTCTGCCTGCCTTCTCAGTAAAAGTGAGGCCTTACCTGTGTGATACAAGGAAACAGTTGTCACCTTCTTTGTGAGCTTGTATGTCTGCATATGTGTGTTGTGAAGCAGCTCAAAATTCAGGAGAGTCTGGCCACGGGTAATATTCAGAAATGAAGCTGAAGCTTTCCTCAAACTGAAAACCATTGCTAGGAAAATGACTGTGGGAGGAGGTATGGGACTGAACCAGGTTTGGTTTGCCCTTTGTGCATTAGCACCCTCTGTGAGACTGTACTCTGGAGTTTTGCTCCTGTTGATGGAGTTCCCACTTCACATCAGTGTGTTTGAATTGCACTGTAGTCTGGGTCACCGTCATTCTCAGGGTGCAGCACAGACCTGCCAAAATAGGATCCCTCAGAAAGCTGGAGGATAGAAAGTATGGATGGATGGAGAGTGCTGAAATACAAGTAATTTGTAAATTAAAAAAAAAAAAAAAAAAGTAGTACTTGACTTTTTCTGGTATCTGCTCAGCTTTCTAGCTAATTCGCTGGTACCGATTATAATTAACTGTGGAACAGAGTCTCTGGCAGTTACTTTCTGTCAGGGTTTACTGGAGTCTAAAATATTACCTGTGTTCAGTGGTTCACTCAGATTGAAAAACAGTCAATTCTTTACAAAATGAATGTGCTTCTGGCAATACTGAGATTTCTGCTCTCTGTGTAGGTGTGGCTGCTGCAGCCAAAACCTCTTCACTAGCATTCAGTTCATCCAACTCTTCATAATTCCTCTCTGAAGTCCTTCTCTCTCTCTTTCTCTCTCCCCCCTCATTCTCTCTTTTCCTTGTTTCCTCTGTTTGTCTGTGTCTATGCACAGTGTGTTTTTACTGTCACAAAGGCACATTTTCAGACCCCTCCTCCTGTGGTGACGGACACCTTGAAGGTCCCAGTGATGGGGCTGGCCTTTTCACATCAAGTGAGTTGTCAATAGAATATGCTGTACATGGTCAGAATACAAGTTCTATCAGGACAAAATGAATACAGGAAAATACAGATTTGACAATGTGAAGTGTTTGTTGTGCATGGGAAGGACTGGTGAACCCACAATGAGCCAGACACTTTACTGAGACTGGCATCTTAAATGCCTTTGCAGATGAAGGTCTCCTGAAGACAGGACAGGCACCCCTAAAAACACAACAGCTGTCAAGGATTGTTAGCAAAAGACACTAGTAAGGCACAATTCTGACTGTTTTCTGTTAAGAGCCAATGTCCCTAGAACCTGTATAGTCATTGGAGCTCCACTCAGCTGAACTACCCTCATGTGAATCAAAGTGCTGTTCCTCATTTTGATCCCTGTAAAGAACATCAGCTTTGGAGCTGCTGGAGCTCACCCTGAGCTCTGGAAGAAACACTCCTCTTGAGGTCAGGCAAGTCTAAAAAGGAAAGTTGTATCTAACCTGACTGGGTAGATTTCTGCCTGGGATGTATAAGGAGTTTCTCCTGGGTTTCACTGCTTCCAACACTTAATTCCTAAAGCAATCTCACAAGGGTTAGCTCCCCAGTTCTCTTTACCTGGCACATTTATGGGACCATGTATTCTTTCACTGAACAGGTGACCTATTTGAACAGGCCTGGAAGATAAGCTGTTTTAATTTTGCAATGGAAGTAGGTTCAAAGAGTTGATAACGAAGTTGTTTTGGGATTAAAAAAATATTAAATATTATCTCTTCAGTAAGTTCACGATGGCATTCATGTAACCCACTACACCAGTATTTGAAGTAGGCCTGTAGAGCAGAGCTTCCCTGAGACTGGATGTCAGCCATACCTTGCACAGCCTCCTCCTACATGTGTAGGAAGCCAATCTTGTTTTCCTGTCAAGGCTCAGACTTAGTCCCCTGGACTACTGTCAAGTAGTCCTCATAGCAGTAAGAATTTTTTAGAACAATAACCTACATTATTGATTCCAGTGAAAATCTAGCATCCTTCTGCCAGCCTGAAATGCTGTGCGTCTGTCTTTTCCTGTTCCTTCTTCAGTGGCTGGTGATTATTCAGGCTGTGGGGCATTCCCCTTCCCTTTCCTCTCTCCTCTCCCTTTGCCCTTGTTTTTTCTCTTCTTCCTTAGCTTTCCAGCTCACGTCTTTCCTATCAGCCTGCTGCCCTGGGAGTTGGATCAGCTGACATGGGGTATCCTGTACTCTTTGCTGGTGGTTTGAATGCTGCACACCCTCACCAGGTACTTGTAGAGAGTAGAACCAGCGTGGCTGGTATTGCAACCATTTGTGTCACTTGTACACCTGAGAGAGACATTGAAACTAGTGCTTGCATTGGTGTCCTGTCTGTCAGGGATGGAAAGAATATAAAGTAAACACAGAGAAAGCACAACTTCCACAGGAGTTGGGAATCGGCTCCTCAGCATCCCTGACTTTACTGGGGTATGGGGTCCTGTGGAAAAACCATGCCAAGAGAGCAGGCACCAGACCTGTTTGCCTGCACCAGCTTGTCACTGATGCCAAACGTTGCCTGTCTTACAGAGCTGCTGCCCCTGTAGCTGTCCAAGCACAATTCTGTAGGCTAGGCATAGGATACACTGGCAGTTCATATTGACATACTTACATTGGTGCATCAGAAAAACAAAGTCAACTTGACAGAAGTCTTTTTGTGCTTGTGATATTGATGTTGCACCAGTTTTGCTGACACAAATGTTAATAAAATAAAATCATTTCAGTTGGAGTGGTCTTACAGTCAGCATCTAATCCAACATCCAGTTCAGGGCTGGCCAAGTTAAAGCCTGGTATTAAGGCAATTGTCCAAAATGCCTCTTAAAACTGGCAGCTTGGGGCATGGACCACCTCTCTAGGAAGAGAACACTGTTCCAGTTTTTGACCACCCTCTCTCCAAAGAAATGCTTTCTAATGTCCAGCCTCCCCTGGTGCAGCTTCAAACCACTCCCATGCATCTTATCACTGGATCCCAGGGAGAAGAGAGCAGCACCTCCCTCTCCACTTTCCCTTCTCTTGAAGGTGTAGGAGCCATGGGCTTGTAGCAAGGGGATGTAAGGTTTTTTTCCCTCCATTCCTTCCCATGAAGCCGAGGACTTACAGCCAGAGAACTCTGCAGTGTAAAACAGGCCTGTAGTGGACAGTAGAGTAGAAAAGGAGTAAAAAGTGAGTTTGTATTGTGATAATACACTCCTACATGACATCTCTCTGAGGCTTATAGGGGCTAGATCCCAATCATATGCCAAAACCCCCACAACTTATGCCCAGTATAATGGAAATCTACTCTTTATTGCACTGTGGTTTTGGTTTGATTTTGAGATTTCTTAACTTGACTGTTTCTTTCTATATCTCAGTTGATTGGTCCAGGCAAAGAAGGGGGAGTTCCCCCAGTTCCTAGCCAGCCAGCACATGGCACTCAAGCTGACCAAGAGAGGATGTGCACCCCACTGGAGGGAGTCCATTACTCAGCAGCTACTCCTTCTAGCAGGTGGGTGGGTTTTAGATGATCCACTACTTCTACTAACCCACTTATAAGCCTATTAAGATAAAACTTTTTGTCTCCCCTTTTTATTTATTGTTTGTAGCATAACTATTGTCTTTTCATTCCTCAAATCAACTTGCAGATTTCTCTGATTGGGGCTTTTTCAGCCTTACTCCAAACAATGATCTTGCCCATCTATTAAAACCTCCCAGTCTATGTGGTATATCTTCTTCTATATCAACTTTATCATTGATTTTATATTTTTTTCAATCTTTCTGCTGCTTTTGCTGATTGTAAAACAAGATGCAGTAAGTTCAAAAATGAGTCTTAAATTCTCTAGACTTAATGTGCATTGTTACCAAAGCCAGTTGTAGTTACCATAAATCTGTTCACCATTTTAGTAAGAAACTTTAGGCAGAAAGTTATTTAAAAGGAAACAATGCAACCTCAAACTGTCCTATATCAATTCTCTCACATCTAAATAAATCCTTCTGGTAATATTTATTTCTTGAGAAATCTCTCTTGGGGTCACATAGTTGTGAGTCACAGAGGTTTTGCTCTGGGAAAACCAAAACTCACTTTCCTGGATATACTTGAATGGTAATCCTCTTCAGTCCTTTCTAGGTAATCCTCTTTCCATGGGACAAAACTTTTTTTTTTTTTTTTTTAAAGTTCTAAATACCTGTGGTAGGAAAAAACACAAAACAATAGGTCATGGAAGTAATATAGCTAATAGCTATGGAGTGAATTAATCATACTGGGAGTGGCTGTTGTCATGTACCAGATCTGCTGCATTTGTGAACTGAGTGACAGATATAATTGGAGATCTCTCACCTCCTGAGAGATCTGTGAGCACCATGTTACTGAAAATAGTAGTAATGAACAGGAATTGCTGTGGACACACACAAGTTAAAAGCCCATTTCCCAGAAGAAAAGCCTATTTCAGCAACTTTATATTCAACTAAATAGTTTTTGTCCATCTTTAAACAAAAACCTGATTGCACAAGTGTCCGTTTTCCTTTTGTGCTCCTGACTGAGGAGGAAGGTATGGTACAAGGACAGATTTCTGTTGTCCTTCTTCCAATACTAGGAGTAAACCAAGAAAAATTAAGGAGTCTCATAAAAAACCTTATTTATCTACCCTGTGTCAGAAGGCACTAATTATGTATTTTCCTCCCCCAGTGAGGACACAGAAACAGTATCCAACAGCAGTGAAGGAAAGTGTGGCTCCCCACATGACCTTTTGGAGACCATCTTTATCCGGAAGGTGGGAGCTTTTGTCAACAAACCCATTAACCAGGTAACAGGCAGTAGATCTTCTCAGAGAGCACCATAATACATTTCTTTTCCCATCTGTTCATACATAGAGGAGCAAAAAGCACCCCAATGCCAGGGCAACCTCAGAGACTCACAGAGTGCATATTTCTTCCTGCTGCATTTCCCTACGTTTTGCCAAGGTGTATTTTGCTTTTCATAAAATCCTTTTGGGATGTGACAGCCATTGACCTCGCTCCACTTTGCCAGCACCCTACTTGAGAATAGAACACTTGGTACTCCACTTGGATCTCACAATGATCTGCAAGTACCACAGATCCATAAACTAGGAAAGCTGATAGCAAGCCTCCCTTCCTTGAAGGAACATGCAGTAGACCAGTTCATCACTAGAAGCAAGCATTTAAGTTCAGCTAGGGCAGCTTAGACATTTGCTCGGTTCCTAGGGCTGCAGTTGTAGGCCTTTTGGATGAAGGAATGAGAATTATTTCAATTTGTAGCAGTTCATTAATCTTTGCCTATATTATACAAGATATGTATAGAAGCAATCCCATCTCAAGATATGTATCTGCATTAGGTCAACAGAGTATCATCTTTGGATTTCATGCCTTTTAAATGAGGTTGTCAGCCTCCTGCCTAAGTGCTGACGTGATTTTGGGCCGTTTTCAGCTGGCCTGACAAAGACATTCAATATCCTTTTTGTGCCTGGTAAGCAGAGCATCTTAGTGAAATTCTGTTTGCTAAATCTCCTCAGGTGACCATGGCCAACTTAGACATTCCTTTTGCCATGTTTGCTCCCAAGAATGTTGAGCTGGAAGATAACGACCCCATGGTAAGACTCTTCCAGAGGTATATGTGCCTTCTCAGCATCCCTTATGCAAACATCCATGCTATTCTCTGCCTTGAATACACTTTGGTTTTGGACAAAATAACTAGTTATTCAGATTTGTTTGCTTTCAAGAAGTCTCCTGTGTTGAATCTTGGGCTCTGTAGACATGCAAATAACAGCATGTGTTTGCTGCCCCTGCTCTAGTTAATGTTAATTGTTCAACCTCCTAACTGCCCCCACATTGCCAAAGCACACACAGACACGACTGTAAGATCAGTACTCACCATCTTTGATTTCTTGGGCAGGTCAATCCTCCTGAATCCCCAGAAACGGAATCTCCTCTACACGGCAGCTTACACTCAGAGGGCTCCAGTGGCAGCAGCACAGGGAACACCCACGATGACTTCGTTATGGTCGACTTTGTAAGTGCCCCCATCAGAGCTCTTAAACTGCACCTTAGGTGGGCTTCGCGTGCTGGTGTGATGGCAAATGATGTCAGAGTATGTTCAGTGGGAGTGGTAAAAACACATCATTCACAGTACCACACTCCAGAGTGTGACAGTCCCAGAACTGCCAAGGACACTGGTACCAGGCATCAACAGCTACAAATTAAATACCATTTCAGTTCTCTACTAACATCTGGGCTTAGCATCCTCTCTCTTAGCACCTAGAGGAGCTAGATTCCAAAGATATGTTCTCTTCCAACTGCTCAAGTGCTATTGTGATATCAAGGGATATTGGCTGTTCTTCAGTTACTTCATATGCATTATTGCGGCAACAGTTATAATGCCAAGATGTTTACTGATAGCAGGTAACAACTTTACCTGAGATTGTAACAAAAGGGAAGCCAGTATCTCTGGGAATTAACAGCAGTGTCTTTGATTGTAGAAACCAGCATTTTCAAAAGATGACATTCTTCCAATGGACCTGGGGACATTTTACCGTGAATTTCAGAACCCCCCTCAACTCAGCAGCCTCTCCATTGACATTGGAGCACAGTCCATGGCAGAGGATTTGGTATGGAATCCTGAAATTTCTGTTTGTGGAAATCCTATGTACTTTATAATGCTCTCCCTATTCCTTGTTTGAAAAAAATATCTTCATAGAATTGTAGAATAGTTTGGGTTGGAAGGAACCAAGGTCATCTAGTCCAGCCCCTCTGCAATGAGCAGGGATATGTTCAACTAAATCAGGTTGCTCAGCCCCATCTAACCTGGCCATGTTTATTTCCATGGATGGGGCATCCACCACTTCTCTGGGCAGCCTGTTAAAATTTTTCACCAGCTTCATAAAAAAATTCTCTCTTATCTAGTGTGAATCTAGTCTCTTTCAATTTAAAATCATTGTCCCTTGTCCTATCACAACAGCCCTTGCTAAAAAGTCTGTTCCTATTATTCTTAAATGTCTCCTTTTGTACTGAAAAGCCAAAATAAGGTCTCCTCAGAGCATTCTCAACTTCAGGCTGAATCACTCCAAGTCCTCAGCCTTATCTTAACAGGAGAGGTGCTCCAGCCCTTGGATCATTTTTGTGGCCCTCCTCTGGACCCACTCTAACAGGCCCCATGTCTTTCCTATACTTTTCAGAAGACAGAGTTTTTTTCCCTATACTTTTCAGAAGGGAGTCCATCACTAATATTTTCCATATAAATGCAGATTTGTTTCTGGTACACCTGAGTCTCTGAAACCAGTGTGTCTAGAAGCTGAAGGCTGCTGCAGCATGCTTGGTCACTGAAACTCCCCAAACTAATCCTGCCTCTGGGTGTCTCACTTGGTGGCAAACCAGGCCTGACTTTGCAGCCTGAGCAGAGTTGGAGTTCTGATGTGGCTGGTGAGTCACATCTGGATGAGCGCTCCCTTATGCTCTCTGGCATTGTGCCATACTGTGGAGAAAAATGAAAACCAGAGAGCAGAAAGTGACTTGATGAAGGCAATGATTTGAGTGGGTTATTGTGCTGCAGCTGGTGGGGATTGCACAAGGTGAGGCCTCAGTGCACCTCCAGTTCCTGCAGAACAAACAGGCTCTGGGCACAGTGCCCTGCTCAGGGTCACTTCCCAGATGCTACCAGAGGGCTCTTGCTTTTGTGCACGTAGAAAGGTGAGCCCAGAGCATTGGTGAGGGATTGCATGACTGAGAAACAGATTTTTTTCCTAGTGTGTTTAAAATTTCCTTCTGTCTGCTGTGAATGAACCCTGATCTGCATTTTTCCTTACCTTCCAGGACTCGTTACCAGAGAAGCTGGCAGTCCATGAGAAAAATGTCAAAGAATTTGATGCTTTTGTGGAAACCTTGCAGTGAAGCTGTTTCCCAGTTCTGCTGCAGCAATTCTTCCTCCCCAAGGCATCCTGGAGATGACATCAACAGATATCTCTATTGCCCCTGCTCTGCCTTTTGTTCACATTGACTAGTTCCCTCCATCAAGTGAGCTTTCTTTTCTCTCTTCAATGACAGATACAGCTCATCTGCTGATTCTCTTCAATTTTCCACCACATAGTTCTGGACTGCTTTTCCTGCTCACAGTCAGTTTTAAGACTTCAGTAGGGACACAGGAAGTCAAACCTCAGTGTATGGAAACTTACTTTCTCTTCAGTCTGTGTTCTGTATGGAGGGGCGTTGTGGAAAGCTGCCATATGCTTCCTCCAAGGGTCCTATGGTGTAAGTTTCCTAGGTAGAGCTTCTTGCTAACAGACTTTTTCCTGCAGTCTCTGATCCTGTTAGAGCATAGAAAGCTTTGGCTTATTTCCAGGGTCTGTGAGTTCAGCAAATTGAACTGTTTGAAGTCCATTCCACAGAACTGGGCATTTCCTCCTGACTTCAGAGTGTGTGCTTGGAGCACAGGGAGAGACGTCAGCTTTGGGACCTGCATAATCCAAGTTACCTTTGTTTTCCTGCTTCTAAGGAATTGGGTCTCTACACTGTGCAAGGCCCTCTGTTAGGTGGCTGATAGGCAGGAGTGAAACTGCAGGAATGCTTTCCACATTTCCTTCCGAGTGCACTGACACTCGGCCATGCTGAGTTTAACAGTGTTGACTGTTGGCAAGCCTGCACGTACCAGCTGAGATGATGCTGAATTCATAGTCTCTGCTTTTGAAACATAACTGTAAATACTAGGAATCCTATTTCTTTAGGGTTATGTAACTAGGAGTCTTCGTCCAAGATTTTTTCCTCTAATCCTTGCAAACCTTCCTGCTTTATGGTTAATAGATGATCTTAAGAATTAAAAAATATTTATTGCTTTTAAAGAAACCTATATTTAAAAGATGTTCTGTTTTCATGTTATAGTGCGGGTCATTCTGTCCTGATCACTGCAGAGAGCAAGTGTGCCATGGAACCCTAGCCAGTGAGGCTAGTCTCTCTTTGCAAGAAAATATCGAAGATATTTATTTTCTAAGACAGACTTAATTAATACTATACTCTGTTTGGGGGACTGTGTGTCCATTACATCCAGCCAGGGCTCACTGATAAAATGAAATGCACACGTCAGTGGAATGGAGTGGCAGGGACTTGGTAAAAAGCTGTTTTCTGATAGGCATGGATGAATTTGTAGTGTTCTTTGGCCATTCAGAAGGCAGCTTCTTTAAAGAAGCACACTTTTTTGGGAAGCTTATGGTACTTTTTAATCAGCTGGCTTTTGAGTAGCTGAAATTTTATTTTTGTAATAATCCAGCCACTGACAGTGTGACTGGCTGGAATTGCTCTATGGGTGATTTGGCTGTTGCATGTCTTCTGCCTCATGTAAGGATGGGAGGAGAAACAGTGACACTAAACAGAAACTTGGATAAGGTGGGGTTTCTTGTGGTTCTCTCCATTCCTGCTCCGTGTAACTAGAGTGTGCAACTGCAAGACCCCTTACTGTCCAAAACCACTTCTTTTCCCCCTAGTTTCTTTTAAGTGGAGTTGTTTTGCTTGAGGACTGAGAAACCATCTTCATTTCCTCCGAGTGGCTGAGTAACCAGCCTTCCAGTTGGTGCAATGTGGCAGCTTCAGCTTAGCTGCATTCTTCATTGGAAGAGATTGCCTGCAGCTGATGTGGGAACCCCAGCTCCACTCTGGGACTCTATTTCTGTGTCACTGCTGGAGCAAGGAGCCAAATTCACAGCAGCTTACTTTAAGGCCAGAGCAAAGCAATGCTTTGAAGTTGATGAGAATTTTTGTTGAGAGATGTGTTTGGTGGGAGGCCTTGTAAGTTCTAAAACTCCAGGTAAGAGCTTCATTGAAGGAAAATTACCCACCAGAACCTTTTTATTTTACTCAACTGATTCAACTTCTTAGCAACCTCACATGGAAATTGCTTTGTCCATGCAAAGATGCAGAAACATTTAAGAAAGGTTCCAAGATGAAACAGTTTGTAACAGGACTTCAGTTACACAGGCTGTAACAAATATTTGTTACCCATCCAAAAGCCACCTTGTTTCACAAGTGGGAAGGGTCACAGAAGGGTGCAGAACAAGGAAATAATGTATCAACTGCCTCTCACCTGTGTCCAGGAAGTTGGTCTGCCACTTTGTAGGGAGTAGTTTGTAGACAGGTGGTTGTGAACTTTAGTCTCTGAAGTGATACAATCTGGGCTGCAGAGCAGCAGACAGGAGGCAAAGGGCCGGTTCACACCATATGAATAGTTGAGGCTAAAGTTCATCTAGCCAGCACTCCTGCTGTGCTCTTCTGCTCACAAGCTGTGGAGCTGGCAGGGAGCACTGCCATTCTTGTTAACCCCACCCAGCAGGTCAGGGCTTGTACTTGTGCTCCTTTATTGTGGGAGTTCCTAACATGGCTACAGCTCTCACATCTCATAAGGCAAAATGGCACTGTGGCACGTTTCCTCCTCTTCAAGAGGCTGGAAAATTGCCTATATAAGCTGCTAGTGTTGAGCTGGATGGCCATAGCAATAAGAGAGCCTCCAGGGCTGAGGTGCCTGCCTCTTCTCTGGACAGTCTTCAGTTTTAACACATGGTTGCTACGTCTAGGCCCTGAGTTCCCTGACCACTGCACAAATGCTCTGCTGCTGTGGCCTGCCACAGATTGTATTATTGAAGGCTGTTTATTTTAGCAGCTCTCTGCTCTGCTGAACATTAAGGACAGTATCTATGTAGCTGCTGATTTACAGATACTTTGGGTGGAGGGGAAGGTTCCTCAAGTGTATTATTTTGGAAAGTCTCTGGTGTATTTCAAGTATTCAAAGAATTTCCAATAAAACTTTTGTGTAAGCAGCACTCTCCATTTTTCTGTGTACCAACAGGTCTGGGACAGTCCCATGCTCATACTTGTTTTCCTCCAGGAAAAAGGAGGGTCAGGGGCCTCTCAGTGAATGCAGGACAGAGCAAGTTGCTGCCTCTGTCAGAGGGCAGAATGGACTGGTGCATTATACTTGGAGAGGTCATTGGGATCTTGCCGAGATCAACCTACTGGAAGGACAGTGAGGGACAGACAGAACAGGTGCCTGGAGGTGGGAGGAACAGTCATAGGGTGTTTGACCCTGCTGACCTCACCATGAATTGGGAAACAAATATTAACTTATCTCCAGAGGAAAGGGGTGGGAAAAGGCAGAAAAATTTACCCAGAAAATATGCATTGTACATGGTTGCTACATACTTTAAGAAGCATAGGAGTGTTTTGAGTTGACAGGAGAGATAGCAGAGACTAAAAAAATACAGAAAGAATAACCAAACTTAACAGCTGCATTCTAGTATTGGTAAAAGTTAACCCTGTATAACAGACAGTGCCAGGTATGGTGCCAACACCTTCCCTTTAAAGGAAAGAAAAGATTATAAAAATCCATGTACTAATAACAACTGCTGATTTAAGCGTCAGTGTAAAGGGTGTCTGGTTATTATAAAAAAAGACACAGTGGATAAAATGACATGAATGGGGGAAAAAAAAAGAATAATGACTGTGTATTAGAAGGTCTATCAAGGGAATATTCCAGCTTGGGATATAAGGGTAACTAATAAAAGCAATCTTTTCTTAATCACATCTTCGGAAGGTAAGACAGTAAACTGAGCATACCACTGGGATCTCACAGTCTACATTATATGCATTTATGTATGTGTATTTATGAGTGTCATTCAATGAACTTAAAAAGACACAGTGCAGTGTGAAAACTCACAGAAACCATCCTGTAGGATCTGGGGCCTACTACAGGGCTTTCAGTTTCCACTATTTACACCATGTCACCAGAAAGACAAGGGATTGGAAAAACCATCAGGAAATAAGTGACAAAGAAAACAATCACATAAGTATGATTAACCACCAAGGTCATGAACAATTAAATACCATCACTTTGTGAGCCTACTTTATGTATTTATAAAAAAAATGTTCTCAGAACAGTGTCCATCAAGTCAGGGGGCAGCTACTCATGAGAAAGTGTCCAGTTGCAGTGGTGCTCACACTGTTCAGTACTGCCCATGGCTGCACATAACGCAGTCCTGCCAGTGCCAGCTCCCTGTCAGGGACAGATGCACCTGCTCTCCAGCTCCTCTGAGCTCATGTTGCTACAGCACAATTCCAGGCAGGTCACTGTGACAAAGCCCAGAGCCAGGACCACCTGCTACACTGGGGAGGTCTGAGATCTCTCTGTATAGTTGGCATGTTAACCACACTGACCCCATTACAGGGGCCATGTCAACATACAGAAGGGGAGCTGGCAACACTGGGAAGCCTTAACTGGTACAGTAAAAACAGGCAAGCAGCACACATTTTAGACATGCAAGTGTTGACATCAGCACAACACGTCACCCTGACACACCATCGCTGGCATCCCAGCAGTCAGGCTCCTGCCTGATGCTGATGGCTTTAGCCCCAGCCCTCTCCGTTCTACTCCCAATTCTTGCATCCTAGCCAAAAGCTTACTAACAGGCAAATTGCAGTCCTTATGAAAAAGTGGTGAACTGAATATGGAACAAGAGGAGTGCAGTGGTCCAACCAGACTATTGCTCATCAAGTCAGCAATCCACATCCATCGAAATGAGAAGGTGCAGGCTTCTGCTGAGTGTATCACTTGCCCCAGGATAAACTTAGCCAGCAATTCCTAAAGTGGCTCCTGCTTGGCACCCTTGGAAATCCTAGGCAGACTGCTCATCATGACAGGAAGATGGTAATGTGGAAGAACATCCCTCTTCAGAAAAACCAAATCTACACTACTTCGTTTTTGTTTTAAATCTGTTTCCAGCCCAAGGCTCCTGCAGCCTAATATTTCTTCAGTTACTCACACAGGGGGCATTTCATAGTTTCTTTTCTTCCTTGCAGCATGATTGTGGTTGGCAGCATAGACAGCCTTACTTGTTTCTTGTAGATGTGTCACTGCTGCTGCCACTTGACGAACATGTCTGGATCTGAGATTACATTTTGATTTTTATTGAAATACAAAAAGTGCAAACTGTGAAATACAAGATTGGTGCAGATTAAAAGAAAATAAACAGTGTGAACTGTGAAAATCCAGGCGTGCACCTGATGAACATTAACAAAGAAGGCAGGGAACACCAGCAACAAAAGCAAAGCAGAAGTTTTTGCACAGGAGCCCCTGTGCATAAAAAAGGAAACTGGGACCAAACTGGCCTTCAGCTCTCTCATGTTAGCACACAAGGCATCTGGATGGCCCCAGACCCCCTGCACTGCCCAGAAGCTCTGGTGTCAGTTCACAGCTTGGGCCAGGGAGTGATCAGAGGCCATTAAGACAGCAGGAGGTTTAGCAGAGGGGAATGTTCTAGATGCTAAAAAGCAGGAGGTTGATGCAGAACAAGTACCCCCACAGGAAGAAATGGCTAATAGCTAACCTGAAAGGTAAGCCAGGAAAGAGACCCTTGGGCAGCTCTATAGCAGGAGAAAACCGACAGACCAGCACCTTAATTGTATACCACCCTGACCTATACAAGGCAGAGAAGCCCTGCCTAGCCAGCACCCTGGCCACGTGAGGAGGGAATTTCACTGCATGGCCTTGGCAGGAGCAGGCTCTGGTCACCACCCACCTGACACAGGCTGCAGGCAGGCCCGGGCCAGTTCTTCGCTCAGATCAATGGAGGAATATTTCAATACAAGGCATTCAGGAGAAAAGACTGCAAAAGCAACCCTGGTTACTATGCCTGCTCCAGGGCTCTCAGCAGCTCCAGCACAAGGAGCAGTAGAGGAAAAGGGATATTTACAGTGGGTCCCTTCCAGGATTTGCAAGCACTTTCCTACCATAAGCAGTAGTGGTTCCCTGAACACTCTCTGCAAGCACTGAACTGGAACAGGCTTTTATCCCTGCCAGCAGGGGATGAACTAGCCTCTATTTTGCTAAAAAAGGAAACGTCATTTCAAGAATTCACTAAAAAAAAAAACCAACCCAAATCCCAAAAAACACCCTAAAATAAATCGCCAAAGTCCAGTCATAACTCAGACACTTGCATTATTCCCTGCTTTCCCCCTGGACAGGAGCTACTCCAGCACTGCTCCTCTGGCTACTGGGCAGGGAACAGTCCCTGCTGCTGTGCAAGGCCAGAACATGCCACTTCCCTAGAGAGTGCAGAGGGCCAGGCCTCATGCACACAGGCACTTGCATTCCAGGCTGCCAAGCTTGGGCGTTTGTCCCAGAAGTTCAGTGGGCTTGCCTTTCCTCCTTCCCAGAGATGAAGGTGAAGCCAGTGTCAGCTGCAGATACAGTGAGAGCACCAAGTCCCCTTCTCCCCCTACCAAAGGCTGCACAGGACAGGATGCCTGCAGGGAAAAAGGAGCTGCACTAGGCTCCCTCAGCCTCCACGGCCTTGCCCCTTAAACACTGGGGGAAGTACACCTCTCTCCACACTAGTCCACTCCAGATTACTCCTCCAACAGCACATCCGCCCTGCTAACTCACTCTAGAAGAGATCACAAATGAATTAGGAGCAGATTAGCTCTCTCTCCAAAACATTTACTTAGTTACTGCTGTGAATTGTTCAGGATGAAGCAATTCCTATCCTGGCCAAACAGGGAATGCTCCTACTCTTGGAAGAGGGAGACTTGAAGAAGTCAGCAGCCTGGTAACCTCCACAGGGCAAAGTCTCCCGGTATCTAGAAAGGATCAGATCCAGTCCTGTCTTTGAACCTCTCTTGCTCCAGCCTTAGTAATGTTTACTTATTTGTTCACTGCTCCCACCCACATGTTGGTGTGCCTCCTCCAAGGCAGCTGGCTGGACCTGCGCTGCCTTGGAGAGCTGCCTATGTTTGCACCCATCCCCATTCCAGAGTTTAGCAAAAAGAGCAATCTCCTTAATTCCTGCAGCAGATGCCATTTACTTTGACTACACCAGGGGCACTGACCCCTGGTCAGTGTTTAAAGGCAGGCTAAAATATTATGAAAAAACAAATTCTCTTTAGCATCCAGTAGCTTAAAAAAAAACAGTTCTGCTTGGTCCAAAAGATTTGTCCCTGAGGCCAGATGCAGCAAGGAAGTCTGGCCCAGGCACAGGATACAAAGATAAATCACACCAGTGAAGTAAGGCTAGAAGCTCCCTCCTTTAACTCTGACAGGTCCAGGCTGAAGAGAAGGATCTCTTTTAGCTCAGGTGATGGGAATGAGGCAACCCAAATCCAACAGAGATGCTGTGACAGTATCGCAGCTGCTCCAGGGAGGTGCCAGGACCACCCCACTCTGAGCCTGCCTTGCAGAGAACATGACCTCTCCAGCTGTGCCCAGGGCATACAGCATGCACCTGACCAGATGGCAGGGTGGAAGGTATGAACCCAGGAGGAGACACAGCAAAAGCCCTTGGCATGGAATAGCTGCTCCCTCACAGCTTTGGCACGAGTGCTCAGCACCTGGTCAGAAATATGTAATCCAGGCCTGCTGCACTCCATGGGGAAGGACAGCCCCAGTCCCCAGACCTTCCCTCAAGGCCATGCTCTCTGTTACACTGTGCTGGGGAAAGTTAAGCTCAAAAAGTAAAAACTAGTCAAGGCGGTCTGTGCCAGTCAGCACAGATACATGTGCCAGAAGAGGCCTACTGCTGCCAGGACAGATGGGGACCTTCATGGTGCTCAGCAGCCCAGTGCCACCAGGGCACTTGCTCCTGCCATTCAGACTCACCAGTGGTCAAAGGGTCACAGCTGGCCTGCATGCACAGCCAAGCTTGGCATGACCCTTCCCAGCCAGGCTAGAAGTGCTGCTGGAAGGACAAACACACCTGAGCTGGATAACTACAGGAAGCAAGTCACCCACTACAGTCCAGCAAACACTGAATAGCACCTGGAGTGGGTGACACCAGAGGGACTGGGCTTGGGCTAAACTCAGCTTCATTGTTTTGTTTTGGAGTCTGACAGGTAACAACAGCACATTGCCATGAGCCTGTCCTTCACCTGCCTGCCAAAAGCAGGGGGTCCAGAGTGGTGGTTGCAAGTGCAGGACACGCTGCTACCTGAAGCACAAGGGCTGCTGCTCCCTTCCCTGCTTTAGGTGCCCCTGGGGAAAGGCAGAATGCATGCTCAGTTCTGAGAAATGGCACTCACAGTAAGAATGTCTCCATCACAAAACCCAGCAACCCTGCCCTAGCCCAAACAGCCCAGCTGAGGCAAGGAGGGGTGAGCTGGGGCTATTGGGAGCTTGAACAAAAAGATCTGTGCTGAGGAAGGGACCAGGAAGGCAGAAAAACTGCACATAAGGGAAGGAGGAAAGGAAGGCAGGTCATCTGATAGGGCAGAAGACTGGTGATGAGACCCGGAGAAGCTGCGCAGGTGGGTTAGGACTCCAGTCTCAGCAGCTGGGAGACCAGCTCCCCTGCCCATCCAGAGCTGCAGGTCTCCTGCTCACTTACTTGCACACTTTCACCATCATCTCCACAGCCCTCACTCTGCTCATCACCCAGAAGATCAATGGTCCCTTTGTACTGGAGACAGCTTGGTCACAGCTCCAAGACAAAGAAGGGGAAGGTGGGCACAGTGTGCAGGTATGGGCTGGCCTGGGTTCAGGCCTCTGCAGCCTCAAACAGCTCCTTCTGGTGGTCCAACAGGAATTTGGTAAAGGTATTGATGGGATTGATGGCTTTTAGAGTGATGGCCACATCTTTGGCCCAGAGCAGATTTGGGCCAAACACAACTGCCAGGTTGGTGTTTGTCATCTTGTTTCTGTCGCTGTGAGCAGAGACCTATGTGGGAAGGAAAGAGATGACTGTGAATCCTACAGAATAGAACAGCAGCTGCCTACCCTCCCCAAAGCCAGAGACAGAGAAAATAAGGGGAGAAAAGCTGACCAGGCTATGTCATAACAACAGGATCAAGAGCAATGGCAGATAATATCTCTACAAGTCCAAATCACCACTCAGGATCTTCCCTCTTGCTTGAATGGCCTTGCAGTGGCTTTCTTGGCAGCAGGAAGTACTGCAAAGCAAATCTGAGACCCCTCTTCTACTCAGCCACTTTGTAGTTCTACCTCCAGCCTGGGGAGCTCCCAGCCTCCCTGGTACAGACCACACAGGCTGTGTGCCTGCACCTTTAGGCTGCCTGTGCCTCTCAGCATTATGACAAGTAAATGCTTAGGCTAGTGCCCACCTGCACCAGAAAGGCTGTCAGCAAACGGAGCACTTGGTAGTTTTCTTCTGGCAAATCCTGGAGCGTTTTGCGAACAACATCCACACGTTTCATCTCCTCCACACCTAAAAATCAAGAGAGACAGGACAATCCTCAGCACCCGTCCTGACGAAGGCCCTGCTGGCAGTCACAAGTTATCCCATGCATGTCTCCACAAAGACATCTTTGCCCTTAGCCAGTGTAACATTCAGGGAGTAGCACTTGTTACAACTCACTCTGGAAGCTGACAACATGGCTGTAGAGGCCAAAAGTAAGGAGGGGCTCAGGTAGCTCCCTCAAGAAGGTCTTGAGAATCACAGCAGGGAGGTGGACATCTTCATACTCCTGGAAATCTACAGGCACACCTGAGAAAGTAGAGCAGAGACTCAGTGCTAACTGGGCAAAGCAGCACCTCCTCCAGACAAAGGACAAGACATGATGGTCAGAGCCCAAAACTAAGGAAGAGGTATTTTAAAAAACACAGAATCCCAAAGTACCACATCTTCTAGCAAAGTGGAAAAATATGTCCCAAAAGCATATACAAACCAGTGCTGAATCCAGCATTACATCTTTAGAAGTCATCAAATCAAACATGACTAAGTTCCATCCTGGTCATCTTAAGTCCCTTCAGTATAACCAGAATAAGATGGTGTATCTCACCCCAAGAAAAAGGAAAACTTTCAGGAAAAAAAAACAATAGTTAAGGGAATACGAGTGGGAAGGAATATGCTTAACACACAGCAGAAGTACCAAACACTTCTCCCTTGCAATTCAGGTCATACCCCAAGATGAGGCCTCACCTGCAGACCTATTAAAGGAGGAGAGGATCTATGATGGACTAGTTCCTGCACAGTTGCAGTTGCACAGCAGTAATTAGGGAATGAGAGGGGCTCTGATGTGTTTGGGCACTTACCCATATTGTATTTTTGCTGGACCTCTCTGACAACCTGTGTATTTGCTGATCTCCGGAAAATCCCCTCTGTATTAAGAGCTGTGAAGTGACAGCAGATGGAGAAGAAAACAATCAGCCATGTGAGAGTCTCTAAAAATGCTGGCCTTTGCAATTATAAATCCATGCTGTGGGGCATTCAGACAGATATCAACAAGTCCCTTTTTTAGAGTGCAACAATTTTTTCTGCTTCCACTATCTGACAAAGGATACAAGCGGCATTTGGATACTTTTACACAAGTAGAAACGTGGACTCCTGAAAGAAGGAGGTCTCCTAAACCCTCCACAATCTCACTTGAAGGCTAACTCACCTAGTTCAGGCTTTACACCCTACTCTAGACTGCTGTTCTTCTTTATCTTAACACAGTCTTGATGCGAGCTTGGACAGAACAGAGGTCACTGATCTGGGACTGCAGCTTCCCCAAACACTTACCATGCTCCCGCAAGTGAGCAATGGTGTCTCTGACCACCAGAGGAACAGGAGACTGATCAGGGCTCTTCTCCCTGAGGCTGCACCAAGAAACAACAGGTTACACACAACTGGTACACAGGACTGGTCCTGCCTTACATGCAGCCTCCAACTCTTGAATTTAGCCACACAAGCTGTACTACATATGATCTTGCTATCCCCATCCCTGGTTCAGCCATTATTCCAAACTTCTATCCTCTTCACCCATCATATCACATCATTCACTGGAGCAACTATGAGCTCATTACCAGACCACAGGAACGTTTTTCCATCCTCTGTAAAAATCTCAACTAGTATATGCCAGGGCAAAGGGTTTCCCAGAAGGCAAGGATGCTAGTTATGAATCAGGTGAAAAGGGTTACACTTCTTTTTTCCTTCCCCATAGGAGCAAGGGCAGAAATAAGCTGACACACAAGAAAAAATAAATTTGGCCACCACATTCCTGTGACAGAAGATTTATCAACAAAATGGCCCTCAGGCAAAACCTCATGGCACCAAGGTGCTCCCTGCCACCCTCACATTTGATTGTCCAGACCACTCGATAGCTGGGAGCTGTTGACCCCTCCCAGGCTGCTAACAAGCTCAGGCAGCACGGCACCACAGCAAACACCATCTGGAAATGTTGCACTGAAGCTGGGGAATGTGTTCCCAGACTGCCTCAGAGGATGTGTCTAGCTACACAGTACTGGCTCCTCCTCATTCCCCAGGGAGGCAAAACCACACTCAGTTAAAAATACCTTCAACAATTACTCAGTATCACCAGCCCTTGCCAGTGTCTGTTTGCCTTTGTCACTGTGCAGGAATGGGGAGTGGGCTTCACTACAAGGCTGAATAGAGGTGCTTTTAAAATAGAGTTTATGATTTCAAAAACAACTAGGAAACAAATCTGCAGTGCTGCTCAAAGCAGCATAGTCCAAAACAGAACCCTGTCAGCCTCCTACAGACATCTTTTGCTCAAGAGAAAGTTTCCAGTGCCGTAAAGCCATCCCCATGGCTCTTATTTTGCTCCTCCCTTAGTGACCCTAAGTTGCAAAAATAATCTAACCCAGGGATCAAGAGGATGGAACTGAAATTACTTAGTCAGGAGCTGGACATGAGCACAGAGTTCCTCAGGAAAATGATTGAAGTTTTGTAGGAAGTCTGAACTGCAAGAAATTTCGCAGCCATTTTCTGCTGTTGCTCAGTAATAAACACAGTGACCTCACACCAAGCAAGTCAGGGCAAAAGCAACACAGTCCAGAAATACTCACTGCTGTAGGGAGACTCCAAACTGCTGGTTTGGCAGCGGTGGGCGTGGGGGTGTTGGCTTCTGGGGCACTTGCAAAGGTTTCTGCAGGGATCTCAGGTATTCATCATACCTGCAGCAAAACACAGATAGTAAAAAGGCACTCCACCTCCCAGAAAGTGCATGAACCCAGCACTGCACACCCACTGGTAGCAACACCAGGCTGGTACGGTCAATTACACCTATGCAAACCACCAGAGGCCAGCTTTGGAGCACAAGAACAAACATCTTGTTGCCAAAAAAAAAAAAAAAAAGCAGGGAGAAAAGGAGTATCTATCTGTAATCAAGAGGTGGAGTAGCTGAGTAACAGCATGGGCAGGAGGCCAGGACAGCATTGTGATGAGACAGATGCATTTGTGGGTGTGGGACAGGGAAGCAATCTGGTAGGGCTGAGATTATGGGAACTTTGGGAAGCCCCAAAGACAAGCTGAGCAGTGCAGAATGAGCTAAGGAGGTGACCAGACGACAGCAGATGCACACCACGAGCTCCAGGTCAGTGTCAAGGTCAGCATCTTGCAGGAAGTCCCCAGAGGGTGAGTGGGAGATGCAGGATTGGTGCCTCATTGCAGGAGGATTTTTAACTCAAAGACAGAACTGGGGACTGGGGCCAAGGACACACAGGAAGGACTACAGAGAGAAACCAGTCTTGAAGGCAACTTGTCAGCACACCCTGCAAAACCTGAGTGGAACGATCTCTTCCTTCCCTTGCCCAAAAGGTCCCCTCTCACAGAACCCTAAGCGGGGGGAGACAGACAGTATTCTCACTTTAGCACTTGGCTTGGGATCCCCAGCTGTTCCAGCTTCACATACTCCTCCAGCTCACTAAGGTAATTCACATAAAAAATCTTTCGTCCAAATTTAAAGCTGAAAAACAAGAGAAAGGTAGATATGTGAGGAATTGGGAAATCCAGTAACAGAACTGACTTCTTACAGAAAAGGAGTGCAGAGGGCTGTAAGAAACATCAGTGGGGCAAAGGGCAGGTATGGCTGAGCAGCAGAGATGTCACCCACATCACTCTGCCACTCCATCTATTTTACCAGGAGATGCAAAGACTTTCCAAGATATATTAGAAGCCCTAGCAGGCTCCCTCAAATGGTGGATTTCTCCTTCCTTTGTTCAGCAGTAGGCTTGAGAAGATTTTACTCCCAATTATTTCATGGAGTTATTATTTCAGTATCACAATAAATTAAATATTTGAGTTACAGAGCCTGCAACTTTTTACTTCTACCTGGCTGGAGAGAAAAGGAGTAGCACAGAGCTGCAAATTCTGTAAGTTCCTGAAGAGGTATTTCTAGTGTGTGAGTATTTCTGAGTTCAGAAGTGGGAGGAGACAGAAAAAGGTGAGAGACTCCAGGATAGGCATGGCAGCCTGGGCTCAGCTTGTGCCCCTCTGAGAAGGCCCCATTGTTCCCCTGCAATGTGAACATGCAGGTGAGCCTCCAACAGTGATCGTACCTGATCAGAGGCTTGAAGAGTATCAGCAGGGTCTTGATGAACATGGTTGGGTGCACGATATACAAGGCTTTGATGTTCTTCTTGTATCTGTCAAGAGAAGCCCAGTAATGACAAGCTGCACTTTAAGCAAAGGAACCAACCTTTCCACAAGATTAGGGTGCCCTGGTTGCTTCATGCCTTTTGCACTGAGCCTCACTACACCCCAGCACCCATAGCCTCTGCTCTCCCATGCTCTGTAGCTGTGTCAGGCCACTCAGCAGCCTAAGGGCATGCTACCCTGTATTCCAATTTTCATCTAAAATCAGTGAGTGGCCTCCTCAGGAACCTACAATTATACTGTGGGGCTGACACACTTACTTACACCAGGTCCTGGGTTTGCTGGTTGCCTGTTGGCCTAAAGCATGTAACTACAGAAGGAGCTGTTTAACCTATGTTTCAATCTGTATTAAACAACAATCCACCTCCTCAAGCAGAGGAATAAGTGACAGTAAATTATGATCACCAAGCTGCACGGGAGGGCTGGGGAAGATCCTCTATGTTAGGCTAGAGAACAGCACAGGACTTCCTTGCTTGCTGCAGCTTTACTCACTTGCGATCAAATTCCCTGTAGGCATCTCGCAACCAGCTCAGGGATGGCTTGTTCTCACTGGTCAGGCCATGGTGCAGGTACACCAGAGTGTAGTCACTCTCCACATACTGGTCCAGTGTGAATTTCAGGTACCTGAGAAGAAAGAACTGATGAACTCAATTTGTGCTCTGCTACAGAGAGCCTATTCCTCCCTTTGGGACTCTTTCTGTGCACCATAACAAAGGATTTGCAACTCCAGCAACGGAGGTAAGCACTTGGGATGACATGTCCAGCTAAACAAGCTACTGTAGATGGATCTGTCCCCAGGAATCCAGTAGTTGAGAATTAGGTCAGATTTAAGAAATTAACATCAGCCTACTAAGATTCTACTTACCCCAGCAGTTTCACGTGATCTAGTTGATGACTTGGGGGCATCCGGCAAGCACTGAACAAAATGACTTTTCTTCCATATTTGTCATCACCTGCAGATAAAATGCAAGAGATTACAGGGAGGTAAGGACTTCATTGTGGTATTGGCAGCAAGGGGTAAAGAAAGAATGAGAAACCACCATAACAAGGCCCAGCTGCCAGCAAAGCTAAATCTGATTTTCAGCAGTTATCATGGGCCTAGTGTGGAAGCAGAAACCTGAATGCCAAGGGCCTGCCAATGAGAATCAAGAACAGATTCCCTGCTCCAGCCCTGAAAGGAGATGAAGGACTGGAAACCAGAATGCCTCCGGGCACATAGGGATGGAGGCAAGTACAGAGCAGAGTGCTCAGAGGATTAAACCTGCAAAGCTGTGCCTGGGCATTGCTCCTGATACACACATGTCCAGGAGGCACAGGGAAAACTGCCCTTCACTGGCACAATAACTCTTTCCATCCTGCACACACTCCCAGACTAACTTCTAATAGCCTGGTGCACCTGTTTTTTGCTTCACCTGGAGTTTAGTTCTGTACACAGAACACAGGCCATTTCATACCCTGGAAACCAAGAAATTCCTAGAAAAAGAGCAGCTCCAGATAAGAACTCTTCTGGATGAGTTCCAGATAGTTTCTCATCTTTCCAAAGGAAAGTCTCTTCTACAGATGGGCCAAGTAGGGCTGCTGGATTCTCCAGAAGGATTGTAGAATAAGCTCTTCACCGCTTCCTAGATTTTCCATCCACAGAGAGATTTTTCCAGCCTGAGACAGAAGGAGCTGCAAAGTGCAGCACGACAAAGCATTCTTTGTAAAAGCCATGCAGAAAACAGTCCCCATCACACTGGAGCCAAATAACCCATAAAGCACCGTCATGTCATGGAGGACACTCCCAGGCACCACTTGAGGCTTCAGAGACAACAAGCCAAGTTTTCCCCAAAGCAAGTCTTCAACCATCAGTGGACTTCTGCCAGCAGAGATCTCAGCCCCATGAACAAAGCCCAAGCAGACACGCATGGCCAAGCTTAGCAGACATGCTGGGGAATAGAGAGATTTGCACAAGTGAGAACCAGGTCACAAATCCTGCAGACATACAGAGTTTGAGGAAAAGTCTGATTCTCTCCCAGACACAACACCCAATCCATTTCCACAAAGATGACTTCTTTTTAGCAGCACTGGAGATGAAATGGTTCCTTTACTGTTAAGGGTAAAAGTCTTCCCACCTTTTTAGCTACTCACCCTGCTCTGAAACCTGTGTTTTCTTGTCAAGCAGAGAGTGCAACAGTGAATGGGGCTGTTGAGGCTATACTCAACAATACCCTCCTTACTCCCATATGGTAAAGCATCTCACACAGACCACAGCACAGAAAAGCAGCAAGGATCGCTACTTATGCAGGACTGACCTGCAATACATCATTCCTCTTGAAATATATCCTTTTCCCAGCATGGATTTACAATATTCATGCAGCCATTTTCTCAGCTTTGCACAGGCTCTGGCACTCAACTATCACTTGGCTACACTTGCCACGCAGCAGCTGGGGTCCCGGAACAGCAAACCTGATATTTCTGGGAATGCTGCCTGTTAGTACCAGAGGACCACTTGGTGCTGCAAAAGGCAGCCAGAGAATTCATACACACCAGCAATGACATTAAGATGCCCCTGGTCCCTTTTTGCCCCCATCTTGCCAGAACAGATTCTCTTGCTTCTTTGTTCATTTTTATTTTCACCTTGCAAGTCCCATTTTCAAGTCACCAGACAACACAGAACTTAGTGATGCACACAAGGCAGAAGTTGTACCCAAGCTAAGGACACTGCGGCAGCACTAGGAGCGGGCCATCACACTGACACACACATGCGGAGATACGGGCAGGGGGAGGGCGCACGGCCCGGAGTGCAGGACCAGGAGAGTGATGCAAGGCTCGTCTGGAACAACCAGCTACAGCCACAGCCAGGCCACAAGACCAACATTACACTGCATATCCCATGGCAGCCCACTCTGTGCCTACCCCAGAGTTTCTTGGCAGCTCACTGTGAGCTTTAGGGACAAGTCTAATGTAAATGAGTTGTCTAAAAGACTAAGTGCAGGTTACAAAGTCCTGGGCAAGAAACATGGCATATTGTGATCCTTCCCATTGGTCTTGAGCAACTCATATGTCTCTATCTGAAGGACAAAGGCCTGTATAAAGCACCAAGAGGATGCAGCACTTGAGAATCGGTTGAGTTTTATACTCATGAAAGAGAATGGTCAGAAAGACAACAGATCTTTGCAGATCATATGTAGCTGCATGCTAAATTCAGAACAGATGATATCTTCAGTTAACTGAGGCTGCATTTCACACCAGAGTGGATGGTCTGAGGGCCAGATGCAGACTTCAAGTTTAATCACACACACAAACCTCTGTGGTGTGCAGTGCAGTACCATGTTTGTGCCTTGCTGTGGGTGCCCATACGCTCAGCTCAGGCTTCTGGGCACTGATTATCAGACCTGACAAGCCACAATTCCAGAATGACATACCTTAAATAGCTTTCTCTGAAATTATATAAAAGCCTACAGCAAGGCCTATGCAAAGTCTACAGTCTTGTTCCTTACATAGTCTGGGATTGCTGGTAAAGAATAAACAGACAATCCATGACTCTTCCAAAGGGGAGATGGCATGTTTCTCCTGGACAATTTCCAGGGCCAAGTACATCAAAAGATAATCTACAGTGCCCTGGATGACTGAAAAAGGAGTGGCCTGTTTTGCCTTCCAAATCAGAATGAATTTATGCATGAGACCTAGAAAGGAACCAGCATGCCCTTTTCTGAGTTCTGGGTTTTGCTCCAGTTTCATCACATTGAACTCAGCCTGTCAACACAGAGATTTTCAAAATGATCAACTGCCAATCTTGTTTCCACCTGACATATATCTGATCAGTCTCCTTGCACCAGACATGACAAAAACAAAAATTCAGCATCAAAGCTGAACAATCAGTTGGTCCAATTTATAAACAAGAACCTAATGCCCATTCCATGCATTCTTGTTGGAGGAAACTACCTTCAGGTGGCCCCTCTGCCTCCTACAGAACAGATTCTTATCAGGTTTGATCTTTCCCAGATGCTCCATCCCTTGTACTATTTGCTTTCCTGTTGGCAGCATTAATCTTATGTATCTAGGTCTTCACCCCTTGTTTGCAATTGCAAATAGCTGAAGTTTCCACTGAACACAACTACAGATCACGAAGCAAACACTTGCCTTCTCAGGCTGCCTCCTATCTCTCCCAGATGAGGAATGCTCAATAGCAAACAACAAACGAATAACAAATTATATACCATCAGTACTCAAAGAACACCCCAACTTAAAAAATATTTTCAAGTACACTGGAATTAAACTACCTCCCTGAAGGATGTGATTCAGATTATTTTGCTTTTAACAACAAAGAGCAAGACAGTAGCCAATATCTAAAGCCAGACAAGACAGCTGCTCATCTAAAGAGATACGCCGTTGTAGCGCTGATTGACATAAGCTCCTGAATATTTTTATGGCACTTTTAAGGCCTGAACTGCATTTTTCTTCTTGCTCAAAAAGCAGCATTTCCAGGGCACTTCTAAGACAGGGGCAAGGAAAATCACTGCTGTGTGTCCAAGCCATGAGTGCAAGGCCAAACTTCTAAAAGGGCTGAAATTAAAATACTGAGACAAATGTTTCAGATTAAAACCTGCAGCAATACAAATGTATCACAGCAGAAATTCACATCGAGAGGGCAATCATGTCCCAAGATAGGGCATTTAATGAATCTGCACAGCCAAAAAATACACAAATCTGCACGTGGAAAATACATCCTTGGCACTCAAATCCTGTTATTTACTATTTCTAGGTAAATAGAAATACATCCATTTCATATCCTGAAATACATCCTGCAGCATTTATGTCATGATTTGAGGCAGCCTAGCTGCAGTCTAGAGACTGCTCATTCCTACCTTCACCAGGTCGCCTCAGTTAGGTGCCTATCTTGTTGAAAGATTCATATGGGAATATCTTAATACTTTGATACTTGGACAATGCAGATGGATAAAACTTGCCACCAAAAGCTAGTGCTACTGCTAAAACAGTAAAGTTAACAGACTTGAGGGCCAAGGAAAGAGCACCACTACAGAACACTGGAATATTACTACACAAGCTTCACAAAGCTTAGCATGTTTAATCAGAGCCACTGTGAGTAAAAAACCTGTCAAATGTAATTTCATTTCAATTAGCTGCACTAAGCTTGTGGCACAGCTGGGAAAGGTTTAAGCATAGTAGATTTTAGTTGCCTATTGAATTCCCAAGTGGATTTAGCCCTGAAGGAAAAGAAGGTAGGGAGTTCAAAGCAGAAGCATTTTAATACATTATTTCATCCACCTTGATATTCCCAATATCCAAACGCTGCCAGAATCAGAAAGCCTTATGAAGTGAATTTAGCTTTAACTGATACAAAAATATACTAGAGGGTCATATTAAAGAATGCAGTTTGGGAGGATGGCTGAGAGCACAGAAAAAGGGGAAGAAGACTCCACATAACGAGGAAATGAGAATCAGCATTTCCATGAATTGTGTGAAGGTCTTAGCAGTAAGAATTTCACACCAATAGAAGTTTTCATGTACATTGAGAAGCATGAAAGCCCCAGCAGCCAAATTACTGAGACTTAGGACTGAAGTCCGGAGAGTATTAACAAATGCTCAGCAAGCCCAGGGAACTCAAGCACAGCTTTGGGCAAACAGGTTACCAGAACACAACATCTCTGCAGCCAAATGGAGAAGAAACAGATAACAGTTGCTTTCAGATGGAGAATCCAGTTTAAGTGCCAGCTGCTTAGCACGTGAGTGCAGCAGCAGATCATGTGAAAGAATAGGAAGCAATCCTAGAATGAACTTCCAAACCACATAGGATAACAGGATGAACTGGAGTTCAAACTGAACTGGTCCAAGCAGGCCACCACCATGACAGGACAGGAACAGGATTTACATTGAGAGCCATGAGCGCCGAAGTGCCCAAAGTAAAGCCCACACACCAAATTTGGCTCAGATGATTCTGCTGTGTCTG